ACACACACACACAAATATATACATATACATACACACACACACACACACTCTATATATCTGTCTATATACACACACTGAAAAAAGTTCACACCATATATATATATATATATACACACACACACGCTATATATATGTATATACTGAATACACTGGAATCTACTACTATAGGCCAACACTGACCAATGTTCCCTCTAAGCTGTGGAGTCTTGTGAGCAAAAATTCTACTTTGTGAGCTCCTGGCACTACAATTGTGAGCAAGTGATTTGGCTGCTGCATAGATTAGCCTGCTCTGGAGCCATCCCATCCTGAGCTAAGACAAAAATACGTGAGCCAGAGGCTAAAAACCTGTGAGCTAGCTCACACTAACTCAGCTTAGAGGGAACAGTAACACTGACAACCATTCCTGGGCCATTCTCTACAGTAGGAAGTGACGCTCTCCTTGACTGACGCTGCCAGACGCCCTCCCTTTCCGGCGTCAGTTCTTCGCTCAGCGGTAACCGGAAGTAGCGTCACCCCTCCAACTCAGAGCCAGAGGAGAGCGGAAGTGGGAGGAGGGGGAGGGGCGGGGCCGAGAGCGCGCGAGCGCCAGCGTCACACGTCCGGGCTCCTCGCGCGCGCTCTCCGCATCCTTCGTCAGTCGGTCCCTCGTTCGGCAGCGGCGGGAGAAGATGGCGGGCCGGGTGAGTGGACGGTCCAGCAACTGAGTGACAGGCGGAGGGGAGGCAGGCGGGCGGGGGACTCTCTCGCTCCCCTTCGTCCTCCCCGAGGGTTTCCCCTCAACCCCGAGTGGTCAGGCTACCCTACCCTACCTCGCAGGGTTGTTGTGAGGGCTTTCCAAGGTTGGGCTCCCCTCGCAACCGCGGTTCTGCCGCACTCCAGCCCAGCTCCCCGCACACCGACCATTGGCTACGGGGGATGGGGTGGGGGGCTGGCTTACTCCAGAGTGGACCTGTGCGGCAAGATTTCCTTGATTTATTGTTTCAGGCGTAGAACAGATTTAGAGTCCAGCAGAGGCACCTTCGAGGCCTGCGAAGGCTTATTCTAGGCATGAGCTTTCTCTGTTTCAAATACATTGAAAAATACATTGTATTTGAAGAAGGGCGCCTTGCACACGAAACCTCATACCTTGAAAAAGCCTTCGTTGGTCTTGAAGGGGCCACTGCTGGACTCTAAATTTGATCTGCTGCTTCGGACCAACGCGGCTGCCACACCTGGATCTGTTTCAGCCTCATTTCTAGTTGCTTTTGGCTTCGGTTGTGAGCCGCTCGCAGCAGGTTTCTGGGGAGGCGGGGTGGCCAGCTGCTGGGGAGAGGGACGAC